CCCACCTCGGAAGAATGGAAGGCTGAGTCAACCCTGAGCCGGTGAGATTTGAACAGCCGAACTGCAGATAACAGTCAGCTGAAGTGGCTGCAGTACAGCACTATAACCAGTGCGCCACCTCGGCTCTTTGGGACTATGAACAGCAGGGAGTAAAACCCCTGTCCCTGCTGGTCCACCGGAAGAGGCCTGATGGCCCGAATGTCCAAAAGATGTTGAATGGCCTGTTCTACCCGGCGCCTCTTTCCGCGATCCCGGGATACAGGACAGAGGCGGAAACGCATCAGGAGGTAGGAGAGAAACTCTAGGGAGAGGCCTGATTTTATCGTCTCCCTGAGCCGGGCGTCCGTTGTTACCTCCTCCCATCGAGTGGCAAAGAAGACCAAACAACCGCCAATGGGAAGGTTCCTGTCGCAGTCACTTTCGCCTGCGGTAGGGACGAGAGTTTCCTGCACCTCGGTAAGATCTGCTGGAGGGGGGGAATCGTGGTTTTTGAATGCTATTTGCATCCCATGGATGAGGCTTCGCTTGTTTGCGTGGCCCGGTTGCTGGCATGCCGTGGCCCGGTGCTGATCCATGGCCTGGGGGGTTGGGGACAGGGGTGAAATGCTACCGGTTCGGGCCAGTTCGGCTCAACCGGTAGTAAAAAAATGCTAAAAAAAAAAAGTTTAAAAAAAAGTCCCAACGATCAGCTGTGTGAACAATCAGCTGTTCCCTGGGATCATGGGAACTCTTTCCCCCCCCCCTTTTTAAACTACCGATTCGGTAGTTTAAAAAATGCTTTAAAAAGTTATTTTTTAAAATTGATTCCGATGATTGCACGACACAGCTGATGGTCCCTCGCCCACCCAGTTTACATGACCCTCCCCACCAAGCCACGCCCACAGAACCAGCAGGGAAATCTTTTGAATTTTGAAGCCCGAGTGGGGAAGGAAATAAAATCAATCCAGGGGCCCCTCACCTGTAGCTATTAAGCATTTGTCGTAGGCGATCTGCAGGCCATTGTCAAGTTTCACCGTGTTGCCTCTGACATCCATGTGGACCACCTGCAAATCAAACAAGGCTGCTGTTTCTGTGTGTTCAGAATGACTCTCTGCATCTCTGGAGCAGAGACAGAATGTCAGGCCTGCAGTTATATTCCTTTTAGGATCTTTGGCCTGCCACACTCTCTCTCTCATTTTACTATGGTGTTTCATTAGTTGGGGGAATTGGGAGGGGGAATAGTAAGGAGTAGAATGGTAGAAGGTGTTGTTGTCAAAATAAAACATTCCTTTCTAGAAGCCCAAGGTCATTCTTTGTCTCCACACCTCTGCACCTGACCGGAACTAGATGGGTGGAAATGCCAGCGTGGCAGAGGAAGACTGGACCATGTGATGGAGTTGTGGGTGTGGGGACAAAGTCATGAACTTTCAACTGGGTGGGAATCCCAGGAAACTTTCAGATTCGGGTT